ATGCAAATGAGGACATTTTATGTAGTTTACAGACAATCAGTACAAGGTGACATTAGTATGTTGCAAATGAACTTATCTTAGCATTTTCACAGTCTTATTTTGACATTTCTCCAACAATATTCTTGAACATGAAATCAGAGGCAGTGATTGGTCCATGTTGGGGGTTTTTCTAACGACATCATCCAGGATCAGCTTTGCAGCACAGCCAGGTGTCGCAAATCAGCTCTAAGACTGACACTTAATACTCCTACACTTAACTTACAGTGAGACTGACACTTAAGATTTACTCCTACATTTCACTTAAAGTAAGACTGACACTTAAGATTTACTCCTACACTTAACTTAAAGTGAGACTGACACTTAAGATTTACTCCTACACTTAACTTAAAGTGAGACTGACACTTAAGATTTACTCCTACACTTACTTAACTTAAAGTGAGACTGACACTTAAGATTTACTCCTACACTTCACTTAAAGTAAGACTGACACTTAATACTCCTACAATCACTTAAAGTGAGACTGACACTTAAGATTTACTCCTACATTTCACTTAAACCAGGGGTCTCCAACCAGTAGCACCTGAGCTCATTTAAAGTAGCTCTTCAGTGCTTGTGAAAAACTAGGCGAAGCAAACTTTAATTTGTCACTGACGAAACAAACTTTAATTTAATTCCTATCAACCTATAGATGTCCCTTCCCCTTGGTTGTCAGTCAAACGGTTCAGGGCTCAATATGGTAGATCGGCAGACAGCACACAATACGTGTTTTTTTGGCATTCATTTTGGCACACACCTTTCATAGCTCCTTGAGACACACTGAGCCAAACTGCTGAGAAACCTCTCCCACTGCGGTGTATGTTACTACAGAGGTTTCTTCCCCCTGGAGTTTACAATGTGGAAAAAAATCGGAGACCTGTCACCCAATGTTATTTGTGCCAAATCTGTTGCAGTTAAACCCTTTTTAGTTATTAGTGTGAAATACTAATAACTAATATGAATGGATAAACATTAAAAGCASTGTAAATTCAGTGTATTTTGTGTTTGTTTCATGCGAACTGAAGACAATTTTTTGTGCAGAACAAGCTTATTCCAATGGTTTAAAATTAAATGTAACAAAAAGTAGCTCTCGGACAATTTCATTTTGTGAAAGTAGCTCTTAAGGAGATAAAGGTTGGAGACCCCTGGCTTAAAGTAAGACTGAGAGGCTTGATAAATGACTTTTAT